CATTGATATCCGGATCGCAGATATCTGATTAACTACTGAATGCATTGTAAACATAATTTCGGTTACTGCGATAATCTTTCTCGTGTTGATCACCAGATTTCTGTTTGCTACTTAGCAGTGGTACTTATCTGCGATCAGATTTCTGTTTGTTCACCAGATTTCTGTTTGCTACTTAGCAGTGGTACTTATCTGTGTTCAAATATTTCTCGAATATTTCTTCACTTTTTCCCAATTTACAAATATCAGATTTCAACAAAAAATTTACAGATTTTTCTTTTAGACATCGAATATGCTCTTCCCAGGATGGGCCGCAAAATCATGAACTGAGCAGGTCCTCATATTATTCCAAAGTGATACGAAAGCATATACCGATGGAGCCTGCTATGCAGCATGGATTTGGTCCTGTTTTCTTCAGAGACTATGGAAGATCAAATTATGAGAAACAAGGTATGGTAAAACCATTTGTAGCCAATGACTAGAATTTGCAATATTGAAATGTTAAAGTAAAATTCAAACTTAATCTAGAAAGGAAATACTCTGATTGCAACTCTCTGAAATTGTCGATAATTTTGTTTTGTGCTAAACAGAAATATTCACATATTTTATGACTCGTGAAAACAATAGCCACATTATGGCGTAAGCACCTGTTTAAGTTTTTGAAGGCTTGCAACCGATTGTACCAGTAAAACGATTGAAAAGTTTAATGCGGATACGTCGACGAGCAGGAAGTATTCGTAATTTAGGATTACTAGAACGAGGTACACTAATAATTCAATCGAAAAATCCTACCATATGTATATAGTCTGATGTTCTGCAAATAGATTTGTTTAAAAATATGCTATGGTTTTCAGCTTGTTTTTGATGGAAGAATTTATTCAAATTAATTTTAGGAGTTTTTGAATTTTGGCTTTGATTATTACAATAGTTTTCTTGAAAAAAAAAGCATAGAAAATCCTAATATTCTGAATTTGAATTTGAACTTTCAGATGATTTTGTACCGCGAATCGATGAATCTCTTTGTCGTTGTGATGGAGAACTGCGTGAAGAGAATAGTTGTGCCCAAATGCCTTGTCCTGAAATAAGCAATGCTCGTACATGTGGTTGGTCTCATTGGACCGAATGGTGTGGTTGTATAGGACCATGTAATCAGGTAATCAGTTTTATAAGCCAGAAAAGTGCAGCAGCACCTTGTTACAAAAGAGATTTGAGAATTTAAATAAAATCCAGGTTTTTTAAATACTCATATATGATATGAATTTGTCGTTTTTTAACTTATCAATTCTAATACAAACATCTAAATTTGAGTTGAAATCTTCAGCATTTTTCATCTAGGGTGATCGCATACGTGCTCGGTATTGCGTTGATGGTATCTCAGCAAGTGATGATACATCAAGTAGCAACACTAAAAAAGATCCTTGCATTCTTTCGGTACTTTTCAAAACTTTCCAATGTTTTAAAAGTTCATGAATTTTTCAATGGAAGTTACAGGGTATACTTCATTAAGGAGTGCTCCATAAGGCAAGAATTCCGATTACCCACAAGAGAACAGAATACAGCTCCCCGTGCGTATCCAGCTCGGTCGGATTTCCTTAATCTTTCGCCATATAACTGCCGCCCAACAGTGACGATCGCCAATCATGATAATGATGTGGACTGTTTGTGGTCCTCATGGAGTTCAGAGGCTTCTTGTATGGGAGGGTTCAAAACGAAAACACGATCCTGCATTGGA